AACTCATTCTGTTAAAAAGAAAAAAAACACCCAAACCATGAGTGCTTACATTTGTAGTGTTCTAACTTCCTCCCAATGGTCTTGTGTGTACATTTGAGTAGTCTGCATTAGCAAGCAACTTAGATGCAATGAAGCGCAGTCTTTAGAATATTTGAAAAGACGGAAATCCTCTTGAGTTTTCATTCTTTTCTAATGAACATCCATTTTTTCAAGGTACCACAAGCAGTGCTTACAAGAACAAACTGCAGTGGCATCACAGATTGTGCAGAGAAGAGGATGTAGTATGATTGAACTCCACTTTTTTTCTACTCTAGAATTTGGATAATGATGGTCACATAAGATCCTATGTAACTTCAAGCTGGAGTTACTCTTCAAGGAAAGTTGTCAGTTATTTGCAGATGATTTATGTCTGCTTTGTACATGTCATTAGCATAATTGGGGTTTACAGAGTGAAGTTTTCAGGGCTGTATCTTCAAAGATATTAGTTGGTTCTATTTTGCATACTGCCAAATCTCGTTTTATATGTTTCTGTTGTGTTTAAGTTTGCATGGGCAAAGTCAGGGAGAAGAGTTGGGGGTAAAAGCAAGAATATACTGTGAAAAATGTTCTAAACATTGCTTTTATTAAACTTGAATACAAATTAAATTCAGATTTGTATTTAATGTATTCAGGGTACCTTATATTTAAGAATGTGTTTTCATTGCTTAAGAAGTCGGTAGTCTCAGATGATAATTTATTGATTCGTTTTCATTACCTTAATCTCCAGCATTTAGAATCGGTGTATAGATTTATTTTTTCTGGGTATGAAAGCCATGAGTATCTGTTCATGTAGCTGTATTAGGCTAGGAATATCTAATTACACTGATTGCTATATCTAAGCAACATTTAACACTTTTTTCTTTATACCGAGAGATACGTATTTGTATCCCAAATAAGTCATTATCATCCCCCCATTTCCTGTTACAAAATAACTGAAGTTTTCGTGAGATCTGCTTAGGACACTAAGGAATGTTTTCTCAGATGGCAATAGCATTTGATCTGATTACTTTGCAAAGACGAAAAGTGAATAGAAAGTGGCCAATTCTGCATGGCAAGATGGTTTACAATTGAATCTTTATGTTTATTTCAAAACTTCAGCTTTGGCTTTTATTTGTCTCTGTTCTGCTATAAAGCTTCTTTTGTGACAATACAGCGTCCTAAAGTAGAAAAGCAAAGGAGACTTTGTATCATAAAAATTCTCCTGAAAAGGCGAGTGTTGTTGCATATCCCCCTCTTTTCTTGCTCACAAAGAAGTCTGGTGAACTTATTTCTGTGTTGGTGCAAGTTACGAGATGAAGGTATTCAGTGAAGAGCAGGCATGAGGGTAAACATGGAAGAGGAAGCAGCTGAACTTTCTTATTTCAGTTGAAATAATGAAATGAGTGACAGTTCACTTTGTCTTACATAGTCAACTCCTTAAAATTTGTATTGTCTGCACAAATCTCATTCCTAGGTTATGTTCTTCTGTTGAATTCTTTCTTTTTGGAGACTTTTCAAGGTGGAGAGGTTCAAGCAAAACTGAAAAGAATTTTACTTTCTCCAGGTAGAATTTACTATGCATAGAACTATGATAGAGCTGATATTCTGATTACTCATTAATATGCTGGATAGTGTCTTCTATTTTGTTAACGAAGTAATGCCTGTCTGCTTAAATGCAGGGATGATCTCTTCTCGCAGTTCTTAGAACACAGCAGTAAGCTTAGCAGTCTTTAACTCAAACCTATTTGTCTACCTACCCTGGGTGATGATAAACAGAGAGAAGTAATGCACTAAGGCAGTAGGCTTTACCTCCAAGACACAGCTAAATCATGAGATGTTTCCATGTGTAGAAGTTAGTGGAAAAATTAAATGAAATCGAAGGATCAGATCCATGGCCATTTAAGGGAACCAATGTTGTGGTTGCTGCAACTCTTTTGCTGGCAATAGCACTCATGCAGTGTCTCAGGGAACCACTTCACAGACAGCTGAAGCACCTGAAAACTAATAACTCTTTTGAGTCATTTTTCCTTAGCCTTCTTGTAGCCCCACATGATTGACTCAGTGCTAGGGTCAGTGGAAGAGCAGGCCCAATTTAGATCAATTTTGGTTATTGTGGAGCTGCCTCCTAAGGCAGCAGCTTTCTGTTTTACCTGTCATGGTAAAACTGCAAATTACTGATAAAAGGGGCAATCCTGTTCTCTCCCCTTTTGCTGTTACCTTTTGCACCTGTTTCCTCTGTCTTACTTGCTTCAAATTTAATGGCTTTTGTGGCTTTAGGAGAAGCCAGTCAAGTGTGTTTCTATAACAAAGCAATTCAGTGCTTCAGTGAGTTAGTTTCAAGTTTTTGAACCAATTCATTAGGTTTGGTCCAAGGTAAGTGGCAGGAGTGCATAGCTAGAGTTAGGAGAATGAGTGGAGCAGGACTTGCCCAACTTTGGCAGCATGTTAAATGCATAGCAGTGAAACAAAGCACTTGGTGCAAAGTGTTTGTGAGAAGCAGTCAGGCAACACAAAGGACCATACATACCTCTTTTGCAACAGCCACTGGTGGTAGACTTCTGGGATTTTGAAGAGGGATATGTGTGTGCTTCATTTTTGCTTTTTCAGGAAGACAGAATTTGGGGTTTGAAGTTGCTTTGTTTTCTTTTTTTTATTGTTTAAATTAATCTGACACTGCCTCTTATCTGCCAATCCTACAAACCCTTGAATTGTGACAAATTGCTTAGATTAAGGAGAAAAGAATAGTTAAAAAAGACAACAGGTACTTAATTCACTGAAGGACAAAACCCCAAAAGGACAGAAAATTGTATTTTTACATTCTAAGTAAATGTTTACAAGTATCAGAAGATACTCACTTCATAGTTATTTAGGTCTGGTTTGGATTACTTACTGTGTAAAACTCATCATCTCTTTAGTTATTGAAAGTAAGATAAATCCCAAGTATAATGTATTTCATTAGGTGATGTCAGCAAGAGTGATTCATGTTAAGATTTTTTTGTTTTCCACCTGCTTTTTAGTTTAGACTCCTGTGGTAAACTCAAAGTTTTCAGAATGTTTGATTTTTATTTCTTTCCAGGTATAAATATGGATTCATTTGAAAGCCTGAATATAAAAACCGTAGGTATTTTTACATTTCTATTTGGTACTTCAGAGTAAGAAGTTTTAAATGTAGCTCTTCAGTTGTGTATCTGAGGCTGCAGAAGGCATTCTTTGTCAAGAATTGCCTTTTTTCAGGAAAAGTTCTTCCTGTTAGAGTCATGTTCTATATTTCTCACAGTTCTGTGTTTTAACAACATTTGAATATTTTCTTTTTATGCTCTTATTTTTTTTTAAATTTTACTAATTTATCCATATTTTCCAGTAAGATTTAGAAAAATCATAGTCTTTTAAAGTGTAAAAATAAAGCTTAAACCAAGATTTTTGAGACGTAAACTTTGTCATGCTGGTGTAAAGTTTCATTCTTTAACTTTTCAGCACTGTAAATGAAATACTGTACTGAAATAAATCAGATACTCTTACTTGAAAATATGATGACTGCCATCATAAATGGAGGTATGTTAAACACATTTTTTAATTAAAGTTAACACCCATTTTAACAGCATTAGTAAATGCTTTCAATATGAAACATAGGTTTAATTTTCCACTTCAATAATGAACTTTTCTTTTATTCAGTTGCATGACTCTTGTAACTCTCCCATTGTTCCAAGGACAGATTAAATGCAGTCAGAAGGGGGCCTTGACTTGATGGATGTGATAAATTCTGCTAAAGTATGGATATCCTCTTATAGATACTTTTCAATTCGACATGGATTATGCTCTGTGAATTTTGCTAAACTAATCTAAGGTTTTGATATTCTGCTTTTACAATCCTTTCTTTTGTGATAAAGTTAATGTTTTTGAACACAATTTAAAATTCATATACTTATTTGTCCAAATGGTTTAAATTTTAGCCATGCATGATGAAATCCCCATCCTTTTGACTATAGGAGAAGTTAAGAAACCACATTGTGTATTTATTCTTTGTATTTTACATATTGGTGTCATTCAGTATAGTTTCCCATTCTTAGTTCTTGAAAAATGAGAACTGTTAGTAGCATGTTAAAATTACAATTTTGATATTTGCATTTCACATATCTGTTTTCTTCTTTGAGCGTTAAGCATGCAGTTTAATATCTAGGTTGTTTACATTTACCAGAATATTATAACTGAATTTATTGAGGACTTTCATGGAATAGTATTTTCTTGAAAGTCTGTAAATAATTGTAAGCTGGCTTTTTTTTCTCCTTAGCTCATTAGCTAGCAGTTTTGCCATGGGTCATAAATGCATCTTTACTTTTTTAAGTTCCTTGAAGACTTGAGCATATGCCTAATCTTATGACTTGTGTCATGTTACACACACCAATAAGCTGTGGTATGATCAGGGTCTTCCTGTAGGAAAGAAGAAGACACATGGAAAACCTCTCATTTTTAGTCTAACAAATGCGGTGGTTTGCTGGTAGAATAAAAAATGTTTAAAGACGAATTTTATTTGTGGCAGACTCCCAACTTATCCTGTGAGTCATTAGCGTGGTGCAGAATGGTATGGCCATGACCATGTCATGAATCAGTGGTTGTTTGTGAGGTTCTTTAAGTCTCTTTCTATGTTTCACTGTGTCCCTGCTAGGTACAGACTCATTAGTCAAGGACTTGACTGAATTCCTTGCTGTATAAAAGAATTCCTGTGTGATCTAAAGGCTTTCAATTTCGGACTGTAACTCATTTGTCTTGGTGAAAGGACTGGCTGTCTACAGAGGTGTGGCAGGTGGGAGCAGCAATTACTTCGGCTCCACTGATTTTTGGATAGCTGTATAAGTACTAATGTTTTAGTTGAATCATTCAGTCTTGTATTTAAAACTCTTAAATGTATCTAGATCTTTGTTTCTTATTAGTTGGCTTTTGCTTTGGGTTAGCTTCCACGTAGCTTTGACTATAATATGATCTATAATATAAAGATACCAAGTTACTTCTTATGGGGCTGTTGGAAGATAACAAGTGCTAGGCATTCAGATATTGTGAGGGTAATGTGATCAGCTAGAGAGGTTTCCTAGATCAAAGTGAGGCTTTTGGGATTTCTGCATGCTGTGAGAAGTCCTGGGGTGGACTCATCTTTGTGATGCTTAAAAAGGCAAACCAAATGAAACCCAAACTGTACAACTGTTTCTCCTAGACTCTATCTAAAATTTGTCCATGTCTGTACACTTCAGCCCTGGACTACTATGCAGTTTACCAGATTAGTTAAGAAAAATTAATAGACTATTGTATTCAAACTCTAATGGTGACATTAATCTAATGGTATTCACTTTTGCCTGTCTCTGGAAATGTTGCATGTTCTTGCTGCTGGCTTTTGAGGTCTCACATCTTTTGCTGCTGGAAATATGTGCATTGCTGTTTTCCTGGAGTACTCAGGTAATTGGCTTTTTATTTACTTTTTTTTGGGAGAATGGTATTTCTACCCATTTTGATTTTTCTTTTTTCCCTTTGTTTATTTTTTGTATCTATATGTTAGAGGCATATTAATCACAGAAGCATTAATTGTTCTAATCTAAATATAGGACACTGAATATTTTGATCCCTGGTATACACATTGCCATTTGATAGTTCAGACACTCATCGAAATAATTTTAGATATTTCTTGCTGATGCTCAGTCACAATTACTTCCTCTAAAACATTTTCTTGCAGTTTCAGATATAGTGTATTGCACCATGGCTGGTAAAGATATTTATTGTTAAACTTAACTGTAAGATAGCCAGTGACTGTAACTGCTTTTTGAAGACCATTATGACAGTACCCAGTTTAGCAAAAGATATCAAGTAGTTCAAGCAGTTTACTGATAATATTAATCTTCCCTCATAAAGAGCTAGGTTTGATTATTAATGTTGAAGTGTGTGCAAAAATAAAAAATGGCTCAGAGGTAGCTAATTCATTCTCAGAGTTGAGGAGAAATTTTTTTATGAAATATAAAATTAGCATATGATGTAAACATATGAAATCTCCCTGATTTTCTCTTCATATTTTTATTTTATTATAAAACATTTTCGTTTATACTTGGGTGATTACTTTCAAATGATTCTTCCGGAAGAATGTAAAATGTTACTTGTAAAATTTTAGCTGTATATTCTTGTTAATGAAACATGGAACATTATCAGGTAAAAATGGCTTTTTCCTTAAAGCATGTTTACTAAGCTTCTGAATATATGTGACCAAATAATTGTTTTCAGCTCCTTTAGAACAAAGGGATTATGTCAGATGTAAAACCATAGAATTACGAGTAGCAACAGATGATTTAAAGTGACATCAGTCAACTTGATTTTTGTAACTGTCTAAAAATATTAGTTAACTGTTAAAATGTTAAAATTCCTAAAAAAAAAGTATCCTCAGAGTAAATCATTAAAAAATATCTTTGATGATACACACTAGAAAGTTTTTAAGTCTCCTAATTTTTACAGGAACTAGTAATTCCTCACTCAAACAGGAAGAAATTCAGCAATACACAAGGTGGGGAATGTAGAATTACTGTAAAAATATATACAGGTGTTTTTGTGAGTGGTTTTATATTTTCTGTTTCATACAAGTTGCTGGTACATGTTCAAATGAACAAGGCCAGGTATTGTATTTTAATGATATAACCTCATTTTTAGACTGTGCTTCATTCTTAATGTTTGGTTTTTGTTTGTTTGTTGTGGGTTGTTTTTTTTTTTAATAACAGGTCATAACTGATGTTGTTTTTCACTGAAGTTGATTGAGAATTATAATTAGTTCACTGTTCGTTTAGGTGGTTGTACTGCATTAATTGCACATTTTCTGAGGTGACAGTTCATTACAGAATTCTTCCCTGTGCAACTATTTCAGTGATTTCTGTGTATTTGATTTTGTGACCAAATCTGAAATTCAAATATTAATTAAGTGGAAAAAAAGAAGCCCAAGATGCCCTTTGATAACATTTTCTCCTCTGTCAGAAAACATTAATTGCTGGGAGCTTTTAATTTGAGCAAGAAAACTAAAATCCTTGAAATAAAATGTGCGTGTTTAGAGTAATTTATTAGACTAAATACAGATAGCAGTTAAAGAAAGATGTTGCAGATGCCCACCTGAAATTTTACAGGTTTCTTACAGACGTTCAGATCACTAAATCATAATTACTGTTTTGCAAATTTTTTTAGAAGCTGCTCCACCCCCTCGAAACCCAGTCCTTTGGGAACATACATATCATTTGTATATAATAGGAATATATAAAAAAGATAGATACTATTTGAGAGAGAGAAATGGATTGACATCTTTGTTGCTCGAAGGCTGGATCTCCACTGAACACATTAATCAAGTATGTAGGTGCCATGTAACGTCATAAAAAATACCTCTGCAAGTTTTCCTACAGTCTTTCCAAATTATTTTTCAGTCCTGATTTTCTAAGATTATACAGTGTCCTTCACCTTTCTCTTAAGAATGCTGAATATTGCTGACTGTAATATCTTCTGTATTTTATGTGGGATACTTGTACTAGAAATCGTTCTAATTCAGTTTGTAGGTATGCGTTAATGCTCACACTTCAGGTGCATGAGAATGATGACAGAGGGAAGAAAGTGAGGATAAAGAATTTTTAAGTAATATTTTTAGAGGGAGCACCATTTCTGAGCAGCCAGAGGTGTCATGCTTGTTTATTCAGTTGCTTTTGAGAGAAGTGAAATTTATATTCTGAGCTGAGAGAGGAGAAGGAAACAAATGGCAACAAAGAAACTGAAATTGCTGATGAGAATAAGGGGAATATACAGAAATCAGATACTAGAAACTGCATTCCCTAGGAGAAATCATTTAGTATTGGAAAAAAAAAAAAAACAAACAAACAAAAAAACACCCAACAAAGCTGTCACCAGATGATTAGTTTGATTATGATGCTGATGCCATTCTTGAGTTCTTGCTGAAGTACATGGGCAGAATTATTTAAGCAGATCAGTGCTTTTCTGTATCTGTACTGTAAGAGAAAGGCCTTATTAGGAGACTTACAGTTTTCCAGATTTAATTGGAGAATTCTCTGTGTGCAAAAACCTGGACTATGAAAAGAATGAAATAGGCTCTGTGGGTTATGAACATGGGATTGGAAAATGTATTGCACATTGCAAAAATTTACATGCAAATATTAATGAGATTGATTTTTTTTTTTAATCCACTTTCTCTAATTTGCACTGATAATCAGTATTTTTCAAAGTACCTCTTGCAGGTTAGGCGTATACAGAACAGTTAGCTTATCTAAATTTTGTCCCATCTGGCTGTTGTGCTTCTTGTTTCTGTTACAGAAGTTCAGGGTCCACGGGAATTCTGAGCATGGGTTTTACAAATAAAAGGAAATTAAATGTGAAATATAAAATTTGGTGAAAAAAAAATAAGTTTTGTCTTCTCCTGCTGCTTGCCCTCCACTTTTTTGTTTTGTTCATAATTCATAAATTTATTTACCTTTTGTCCCTGATGTCATCTTTTATATGCTGGAACATTCATGCTCCCTCTTAAATCAAAGTGCTTCTGCTCAGTACAGCTGGGTTAATGGGCGTGTGAAATCGGAGTAGAAATTCTTCAGCATTTGAACCTTTGAAAACTGAAATACTGTGACAAAGTCCGGTGTCTCTGGAGCCTACTAACAGGGCTGTTAGCTTGTGGTGAAAGCAGCGCACCCCGAAATGTCAGTCAGCGGGGGTGGGGGATTGCTGCGAGCTAATTAGGACCAATTAGCTGGTCTCCCTGCTGACCAGATCGCTATTACCTTTCTCTTCCTTGCCCTTCCCCTGATGCCGCTGCGGGACAACGAGTTGTGGCAGCGATGATTGCCGGAGGGTGTCCGTGTCCGTGTCGGTGCGGACGGTGGAGGCACGGGGCCGCGCTGAGCCCCGGCCCCCTCCCCGCCCCGCCGCAGTGTGGAGGGAGGGACCGCGGCCCGCAGCCGCCTCCCGCGCCGCGCCGCGCCGGGCGCTGTCCGGGGTGCTGATCCTTGCTAGCTGTGCTGTGCTGTCCGAGGTGCTGAGCCGTGCCGGGCCGAGTGCTGTCCGAGGTGCAGAGCCGCGTCGCGTCCCGGCGGCACCATGGTGTTCGCTCCAGGTAAGGGCAGCCGCTTCCCGTGCCCGGGCAGGGGAGCCCCGTGGGAAGGCCCCGTCCTTGCCGGAGAGCTCCTCCGGGGCTGCGGGGAGGGAGTGACGGCTGAACCCCAGCTGCCACCGAGCAGGGACAGGTGGTTTCAAAGAAGGTGACTTAAGGTTAGGATGTGTTTAGCTGTGGAGCCAGAGGTTAAGAGGGTCACCCCTGTGGTGCCCATCAGGGACAGGAGCCTTCTGTACAAGTGTGCAGGTGAGTGTGCACAAAAGGGTCAGAAAGTCACTGCCTTGCATGGAGAGTGAGTACACCCCCAGCACCAACTCCAGTGCCTGCCAAGGAGACAATCTCTGAAACTCGTGGAAATACTTTACAAATTTCCATCCCTCCTTCCCCTCCACTGCCTCAAGTGTTTGAATGGAAGAGAAGAGAAAGTTTTTTTAGTATAGCTTTTAGTGAAACAAAATTGACTTCAGCAGGATCTCATGTCTAAAGCGAGACCTCACTCTATAAGGTTGTAAAATCTGCTGTGTAGTATGTATGTGCTACACCACAGAAGAAAGATGCAGAGAATCTGTATTTGGCTTGGTACATTCTGCTTCCAATAGGCAGTTTGTTGTTCAGAAAGCTATGAGAGACCCAGTAGCTCCAGGATATAAATGTAAGTCATGTATAATGTCTTCTGTAGTTAAATGACTTGAAATTAACTTCACTAAAGATGTATAATTGTCAGTAAAAATAGTGGGTCAATAAAAAGGGAAACTAAAAGCTGCAACTTGACAATGAGTAACTATTAATGCCTTTGTTTTGCAAAGCTAATGGAATTTTTGTCTTCCTTTGGAATTCTGTATCCAATCTGTAGAGGGATAAGAATCCAAAATCTTTATACCTTCATTAAAAAAAAAAATAAAAAATCTTGAAGCTGACCCTGCTAACTTGACACAGACAAAATCTGTCAGAAATTAATATCCTTTTTCAACAATCAGAAATTCATTTTGTCTCTTTAACAGCCCAGTTGCTGTCTAATTTGATACTTCCTTGTACATCATGTTCTGAAACTGGGACCAAGTTGTTTATCTTAATAGAAACAGCAGCTGGTTTTTGTTCTACACCTTTCAGTATTAGTGGCTCTTTCTGAATTCCTTCTATCTGACAGACTGTCACCATCAACTGTACTAATTTTTAAAATGCACTTTGGGACTGGAATATTGCAGGAACAGATTACCCCTAAAATAAAGAAAACATGCTTATTTTTCCACAAAGGCTGACAATGAACAAACCACAAATCTCATTAATAAGTGCATGAATTGTTCTTTTCACAACTCTAATCCCGAAAGAGAAAAAAAAAAAAAAAAGTTGTGAAAATCTGTCTTGTATAGTCATCATTCTTTAGTCTGCTTTTACTCAAAGTCCATGGTTTCCTTGCAAATGTTGCCATAATATACATAGGGTAACTAAGTAGGAATTTGTAAAAGAGATGATAAAGCAATCAGAGGAGCTTGACAATCTCTTGTATTCAGACAGAGCAAGCCTGAGTCGATTGCTTTTTTTTTAATTGCTTTTCTTCACTGTAAATTAGTCCTGCCCTGGTGCTATTGCTTTACGAGATATTAAACACAGGAGGTTTGTACACATTATAGAATCTTCATAGTACTTAAGGCCCTATGGTATCAGAATGCAGTAAGTTTACTGAGAAACTGAGTTTAGTGTCTTGAATCAACTTTTTTGATTTTATTCTGCTGTGATGAATAACCTAATTTTCTGTACATTTATGTCTTGGGAGGGTCAGAGAGGGGAAAAAGATTTGTCTAACTATAAATGGTTTGGGTCAGAATGCTAAACATCCTTCCAGGATGGGGGTGGGAAAAAAAAAAGAAAACAAACCAATAACAATTGAAAAGAAACTGTCTTCCAGAAAAATAATGGAGCTTGTTTATAAAGATAAGTTTTTGCAAATGAATAAGATGATGCTCTCTTCCTAATGGTAGTGGATACATTATTGCAGAGCACTGAGTTAACAGACTGTGTTTATAAACTTTTAAATGGAAAAAGCTTATCGAATTTAATATACTTT